TCATTTGATGAAACTCGTGTTGGCACCATAAATTGGTTTTGCTTCACACTGTCTTGATTAAAAGTGTGAAGCTTTCTACAAGTTGTAGTGTTTGCATTGTTACAGAGGGGAAATATCTGAAGCAGATGCAAGAGGGCTGAATGCTAGGAGTTCACATGTATAAGTTGTACTACTCGTCTTTTGGTAGGTGGAATGAATGGTGACTTGCTTTCATCACTTGGTTGGTGGTACGAATGTGAGTTCTTTCATCACCTTTCATCACATTTCATCACCTGGTTGGTGGCACGAGGATGAGTTCCTTCTTCACCTGGTTGGTGGCATGAAGGAGAGTACGAGTTGTACATTTCATCACCTGGTTGGTGGCATGAAGATGAGTTCTTTCTTCACCTGGTTAATGGCATGAGTGGTAAGTTACCAAATGATATTAGAGTACTAGTTGTACATTTCATCACCTGGTTGGTGGCATGAAGGAGAGTATAGGTTGTACATTTCATCACCTGGTTTGTGGCATGAAGATGAGTTCATTCTTCACCTGGTTGGTGGCATGAGTGGTAAGTTGCCAAATGATATTAGAGTACGGGTTGTACATTTCATCACCTGGTTGGTGGCATGAAGGAGAGTACGGGTTGTACATTTCATCACCTGATTGGTGGCACGAAGATGAGTTCTTTCTTCACCTGGTTGGTGGCATGAGTGGCAAGTTACCAAATGATATTAGAGTACTAGTTATACATTTCATCACCTAGTTGGTGGCATGAAAGAGAGTACGGGTTGTACATTTCATCACTTGGTTGGTGGCATGAAGATGAGTTACTTCTTCACCTGGTTGGTGGCATGAGTGGCAAGTTGCCAAATGATATTAGAGTACGGGTTGTACATTTCATCACCTGGTAGGTGGCATGAAGGAGAGTACGGGTTGTACATTTCATCATCTGGTTGGTGGAATGAAGATGAGTTCTTTTTTTCACATTTCATCACCTGGTTGGTGAGAATAAGGGTAAGGTGTCGAGACATATTGTAGCAAGTGTCGAAGACACAAAGTATGTTGAACCCTTTCGAAGTACAGTTGGCTTATGTATGGATGTGTTGGAATGTAAGATGTTTATGTATGAATGTGTTGTAATGTATAATGTTTATGTTGATTGATATGAATGATGCTTATGAATGTTTTGCTATGCATGAAGGGATCCATGCTTTTGATATGTGAACCATGTTGGTTGTAACACTTAATATCACATACTTTGTGTCAAAGTATGCATGTTGAAGCTCTGAGTTGAATTATAAGGGTATGTCAGCGTAGACCAAGTGTTCCAGTGCTAGGAACGCAAAAGACTCAGAAGAAGTTGTCTGAATTCCCTCTTCTTTAAATATTTTCCGACTGGCTTGTGTGACAAAAGATCTCAAGCGGTTGAGAGTCAAAACATTTGTAATGTGTATGCCTTTTTATAATAGCATCTCCTTCAGTACCTAGTCCTTCACTTTGAAAGAGTGAGGCTTGGCCCCATAGTCATAATAGTCGACGGTACGTTCACCCCTGGTTGTATTGATACGAACTTTTATCCTTCTTATTGTAATGGGCTTGCTGAGAGTAAAAATCCTTCCTCTTACCAAGAGACAGATACGTTTGGTGACTTAGCGAGTTGCTAAATGAGGCAAGAGATGATGCAATAGGTGTCTGAATGCCCAATATCTCCTCACTTGGTAGAACTTGACTTCCACTTCCCATTTGTTGATAGGGGTTAACCATATGGGGGTTCCCTTGGTATGTCTTTGCTTCGGCGGAGGCGTGGTTGTAAGCTTGTGCCATCACCTCAGAGTAAATCTTCCAAGTGTTGGCATTGATCAAGTACTTGAGGAAACAATCATGTAGACCTGTCGTGAAGGCCTTGAGGGCGGTCTTGTCATCTACCTCAGCAAAGCAAGAATACTCATGGCTGAAGCGACCGACATACTCTCGTAGTGACTTATCCGGTTTCTGGCCAATAGTGTACAAGTCATCTGCAGAAAGCAAGTGATCGGTCTGGAAGATGTGTTGAGAGACAAACAGTTTCCTCAATTCCTCAAATGAGTCTACTGTCTCAGGTGGAAGACGACAATACTAGTTTAGAGCTTCGCCAGAGAGGGTGGAGGGGAAGAGAAGACATCGCTCTTCGTCGGTGTGCATCCGATATGCCATGGTGGACTCAAAGAGGTTAAGGTGTTCAATTGGGTCATTCCTTCCAGTATAGAGTTGTAAACCAAGCTTTGTTTTTTTTGTCTTCGCTTGAAGGGGGTGTCGATGATCCTTCTTGTGAAAGGGTCAGGCCTGGGTTGGTTCCAGTCAGGTATCTCGGCCTGACGTTCAGCCTTCAACTTGTTTACTTCCTCAAGGAGCTGTAGGACAATAGGGTCATGAGTGGAGTTATGTACCACTAGAATTTTCTTTCGTAAGTCTCCATCACCTCTTGGAAGTAGGAAAGTTTGAGCATGGGTGTGTGGTTTTTTCTTGGACTCGCCGTACTGACTTCTAGGGCGAGTCTGTCGAAATACCTCAGAGTCCCCCGTACCTTCATGTTCTTCTGGGACCTATCGTTCCTTCCCTAGATTGGCAGCTGGCCTGGGTCGTGGGAGGAGACCGAGTCTTTCAGAAACCCTTGGGTCATTAATCTTCGAGCATATATGGAGGGGATTCTCTCGACATTGCTTTAGGAAGTCTCGGCAGTCACGATAAACGGCTTTCGATCCTTCCAACCCTTTTGCAAAGAGGTGTCTTCCTCCACTTCTTCTACTTCGGGTCGAAGCATCTGGGTTGAGAGAAGTTTCATGTTGATCAATGTTTTGATGATTAGCCCACTTCTCATCAGGGATACCCATGTCGAATGGAGGTGACCCTCCGTGTTGGGGGGCACCTAGATGATGGTTGATGTCCACAGGGGCAACGAGCTCGCGTGTTTGAGTACGCCTAGTTCGTGGAGCGTCTCAAAGAGCTTCTCATACTGCTTCTGGAAGACCTCATTCTTCATTGCTATCTTGTTGTTATGAGCTTCTAGCTCATCGACTTTAGCTTGAAGAGCAACCCTCTTTCCTTCCTTCTTTCATTGCTTCGCACTAGGTGCAAGAGGGGTGTCATTCTGTGTGTTGTGGCTTCCTTCGCTCCCCATGTTGGAAAATGATGCATGGTCAAAAGAGAGTGTACGAATGGTGGAAACCAACTTGGCAAAGCTGAAGAAAGTGGGAATAAGTGTCGTTCCCACAGACGGCGCCAAATGTTGATGCACAAAATCAGCGAGGACTTTGGTACAACAGAAAGTGTTAAGTTTGTGACCTTCGCTAGATTGCTCCGATCACTAGTGTGGATAAGTAAGTAAATGGATAGGGACAGGGAAGCAAACACAAGATTTACGTGGTTCACCCAGATTGGCTACGTCCACGGAGTATAGGGGTTCTCATTAATTGTGAAGGGTTTACACAAGTACATAGGTTCAAGCTCTCCTTTAGTGAGTATTAGTGAATGATTTAGTACAAATGACATTAGGAAATATTGTGAGAGAACCTCTATTTATAGAAGAGAGTTTCTAGTTTCATTCTTACATTGACATGTGTCGTTTTGTGATTGGCTTCTGATGTCGACACGTGTTGTGCTATGATTGGCTTCTGATGTCAACACGTGTCGCGCTGTGATTGGCCTCCTAGTTAGAGGGAAACTCTTCTGGGTCCTTGACGGTATAACGTTGACCGGTGCTCAGTAGTTTCAGGATTGGTCATGGTACAAACAAACTTAAACCAAAAGGTTGACGAGTTTGTTTCACCAAAGGACAAACATCACAAATATGACTAGAATCAAAAGAACAATAAGAAAACTAGAAGCTAAAGCTTGCAAATGAGTAGATGAAGGGTGACCAAGGTGCCTATGCCATATGGAGGACAGGATGTTGATGATGTTGCAGAGAGGGTGACAGGTGGGGATAGAGGAGGCAAGGGCCATGAGGTAATATAGATCGCCATATTGCTTACCCACACCAATCATCGCCTTCGAAACCAAGTCCTGCAAAACAAAGAAAGAAGGAAAGAATGTTATGGAACATGATAATCCATCTGTAAGCTTACCCACCAATAAAAGGTCCACTTTAAAATTAGGGACACATAAAACATCTTTCAAATTAACCGAGGAATTTTAACGAAAAGTGCCATTTAAAGTAATTGGAGTGGTAGTACCACTAAGCAAAGAAACAGGTGGCAAATGTGAAGCAGAAGTATTAACTAAACATGAAGCTGAAGAAGTAATATGATATGTAGCTCCACTGTCAAGGATTCATTGACCATGATGAGAAGTTACAGGTAACAAACCTTTGGCAAAGTCATCACTGAAAACTGCAAGGGCATGAGGAGATGAAGAAGAGTCTATAGTGTCAATTAGGGTAACAAGGACACATAAATGCTATTAGGCTGAAAGGTAAGGCATTGCAACCTGTACATCATGCAAAGTGGGCTGGGCTTGCACATGATGGACTAAGGGAGGGACAATAGCATTGTGGACCTGGGGGCTGTTGTTGGGCCGATGACTAGCATTGTTAGTGTTGCGTGTAGGACTGGCAGTGCCATTCCTGCATGAAGAACCAGCAGATGCAGTGGACGTGGATGAACGATAGGGTGGCTGCAATGGTTGTCCATGGAAATGATGACGAACAAGGTAACCGTGAAGTTTGTGACAATTTTTACGGGTGTGAAAGTTATAGTTGCAATAGGTGTAGTGGAGAGGAGGGCAGTAGGAGGAAGTACAGGAAGAGCCACGACCCGCCATGGCTGCAGATTGGTCTGCAAAAATAAGGGAGCCCAACGAATGCTGTTTTTCAGTCTGAGAAACTAAGGAACAAGCTTGGCAAAGGGTTCATCAAAAGAATATGGTCCCGAACGGCAAAGAAAGACTCATTAAGCCTCTTGAGGAATTGTATAAGTTGCTGCCTTTCATTCTTGGTGCCATAAGAACAGGTGTAGTGCTCATTGTATGAGGCAAGTTCGTCCTAAAGGCCTTTGAGGCGAGTGAAATAGGCGGAGAGGGATGAAGTACCTGAGGAGATGGTGGCGAGTTCACGATTGAGTTGGATGATACGGGGGTCGTTGCTTTGGGAGAACTGTTTGCGAAAATCGTCCCATACGGCTTTGGCAGTGGTGGAAAAGATGACGGACTCGACAAGATCAGGCTCCAAAGAATGAAGGAGCCAAGAAAGAATCATGTCGTTGCAGTAGTGCCAAGTAGCATGAGTATCAAGATCCTTGGAGGAGGACGGCTCCTCGATATCACCATTAAGAAAACCAAGTTTGTTCTTGGTGCTCAAGGAAATCTCCATGCCGTTCGCCCAGGTTGTATAATTATCTCCATCAATTTTTTGGAGACAAGAACAAGGTTAGGATGATCATAATGGTGAAGCTAAAAGGGGGTACTGCTTTCAGAGTTTCCCATGATGGAAGAACAGGAATGGCAGAAGAAGGCTACCGAAAAAATTTAAAGAAAAGCTAGGGTTTTGAAACCTGCTCCGTATACCATGTAGAAAAAGATATGTGGGCTGAAAAATATATTTCATTGGTACGTGAATAAGAATATATACAATTACATTCCTTGCACAACAAGCTATTATCCCTACAAGTTAGGAATACAACTACAATTAGGATTACAATCATATCTAGACTCTAAAAATATGTTTGGATGAAGAAATTTAGGATTACCAAGGAATTTTAAAATGAATGAAATTGAATTGACGGGATTTTATTTTCTAGAATTTTTGAATTTTCTAGTTTGGTTAGCCTAAAAGAACAATGGAATTGAATACGGAATTTGTTATTTTTAAGCTCTCAATCATAAAAATTAGGAAATGACACCTATGTACATGGAATATATACTTGGGAATTGGAGGTCCCAAATTCCAAGTTTTTTTCACGCGGAAATTCTAAATTTCTATGTTTATGAATCTAAACAAAAGAATTCGTGCATGTCAATTTACAAATTCTTACTTTTATCTGAATTCCAAGTTTATTTCCTTCATCCAATCATAGTGTAACTATGTTTCTACTTGTCTAACAAAATGCATAGCAATGTTTAAGCCGCAGGTATTAATCAAGATCTTTGATTATTTAGATTTTCCCTGAGTGTTGCCTCATTACTTGATGTCTTAAACTCATTTTACGGAACAATGTGAACCAGCAGATTCGGCTGGTAAAAATATAGAAGAGTAATCATGTTAGTATTAAGATGAGATGGGATTCTCACTAGTCACTCCTTTTATCACTGTGTTCGGAACTTTCACTTGGATCTTTTCTACCCTCAACAATGAAAGATTCTTATCTACATCTTCGGATAGATCCCCGTTAGTATGCGACCCATCGGACTCATGGGGATATATCCCAATGATACATGAAATTCTCTCATCAATTGTGTGCCCAAACGTAAAATTACCGAGATCACAATTAAACCAGTTTTATTTTGAAATTATACATCATGTTATCGTAGAAGTATTTACACAAAAACTGATATAGGCTCAGTGCTAATCCCATTGGCCAATACACTCTTCACTTATAACTAGGTAAACTCGTGTGATGAATGGTATAGGAACAATTGCTGTATAAGATTTAGCCCAATTTGGGTCACTGGTTTTACAATGTAGAAGGCCTCAAGCCTATGAAGATATTATAAGGAAATTATAAAAACCCCCTTCCAAACATTGTTTTTTTATTCAGTCACCCCTTCATGTTTTCCATTTAGCTCATAGTCCCTAATTTGAAAGCTGGGCACGCAATTGTTGATGAATGCTCAAATAAAACAGAGAAAGTTTCGGGGATTAACTTTTGTAACTGGGGAGACCAAAATTTTTGGGCAGAATGGCCGGGAAACTAGCAATTATCGAAGACTTTTAGGTAGACCTGACATTCGTGGCGTGTTTTTCGTATTTGTGGCATACCCAATATTTTAATGGATCGTGCCGTGTAACACTCATTAATATTATCATGTAATATGACATGACCTGTTACCCGTAAAGAAAATATATTTAAAATCAATAAATAATGAAAAATTAAAATTTAAACTCGGTGAGTAGAATAAAGTGTAAACAACAATCAACGGTTAAATTTAAATATAATATTTATGGATTATGGTGTGGGATTTTGGAGTTGACCATTTCTTGAAAGTTGTAAAGTTTGTCATTACGAGTTATTGTATATATTTTTTTACATTTTTTCACACTCCTACAATAATAATTATTATTTTGCACTATAATAAAAACACTAGTCATGAGATTTGGAGGGTTTTTAAAGACTTAAATGACCATGTACCATCGTCTAAGTGTAGAGGATGTAATCATGAGCATTTATATATGCTTTCATATTTTTCAGACTTGTACATTAATAATTATGAATTTTATTTATTCTGAACTCCCTTAAAAAATATTATTCATGAGGGTTTGTATGGTTTTAAAAATTCAAACGACGATGTACCCATCCTCAAAGTGTACAGGATGCAGTCACAGGCGTTTGCATGTTTTTGCACTTTTTTTCGCACTTGTAAATTAATTATTATAATTTTTTTAATGTGTTTGGTATTTTTAAATGACTTGATATTTTTATTTTTAATGTGCTTTATGATTTTTTTTAATCTCACTCTTTGCCTATAGTATACTATAAAATAAATAAAATTAATTTTTTAAATTTATATAAAAATAATACAATAATACATATTTAATATACAATATGTATATATACATTATAATTATTGTATTTTATAGTATGTTTTTTTATAGTAGTTTAAAAAAATTAAATTCATCAAAATAATTTTTTCCTTAACGTGTCGAAATAGGTTACCCATGTGTAAACCTGTTAATGACCCGTTATTAACGGGTTCTTATCGTGTGACCCGATAATGACATTATTAGTTATCGTGATGACTCGAAACCTGTTATTTTTGTGTCATTTATGTGTTGTATTAACGAGTCGTGTAAAAAGTTGCCAAGTCTACTCTTAGGGTGTGAATAGAATAGGGGTGTATGATAATAGGGATAAAATCTAAAACTAAAGTTTCTAAGTAGGTGTGGAAAGGAAAGACTCAATGTCCATGTGGTAAACAAAATAGAAAATATGAAAAGGCTTATTATATTAACACCCCACAAATTGTTGAATAAACCTCACATACTTAATACACCCCACATTTGTTTTTTCACTTAAAAATTATCTTAATACACCCCATATACTTTCCCATAATACCCCCACTCCCCACATTCTCAATATACACCTTATATTTTGTATATACACCCCACATTTTCCAACTTGCCTCTCAAACTGTAAACAGTATTGTTCAATGCTTCCGGTGAATGTCTCTTATCAAGCAGGTCATGTAGCACACAAAGCGCCACCTCCAAAAACCGACTGAGACTCGCCTCCGCAACATTAACAAGACCGAGTGATGTATTTGTGTGCATAAATTTCGTGACAACGAGTCCAGCTAGAAGTTGTTGATCCGCCTTCACAAGCTTTGATATGAAATAGGGGAAGAGTATTCTTTTGAAATGCAACAGTCATCTCTTGCTTTGCACTTCGGCGGCTTGAAACTTGTGGGATATGTTCCTGACCAAATAGTAGATGTAAGATAAGATGTTTTCGTGCAAAGAGTTGGAGATGATAGTGCGCAAAAATAATTTTTCTCAATCAACATGTTTGTAGTTTCATTGGTTTGAGTTTTGTTCAACAATAGAGGGTGAGAGGGTTTTGATAGTTGAAAAGATAAATAATACACTAAAAGTGATTTGGGGTGTATTTAGAATTTTTTTTAAACCTAATAAGGTCAAAATTATCATTGCATAGTGGGATAAATAAGTCATTTAATATTAAATTTTAATGTGGGGTGCATTCAACATTTTGTGAGATGCTAATATAAAAAGCCATATGAAAATACAAGTAGATTATTACAACCTAATGATCCTCTATGAAAATATGAAAATACAGGTAAACAAAATGGATGAGGATTCTCTCCGGATTCTCTTTGTGAGGATATCGAGAATCATTTCATCATATCAGTTCATCGTATATTGTACGGTCAATTTTCGTCAAGTACTGTTTGTGTTCAATTTTAAACAACGTAAAAATAATTTTTGACCGCAAGATGACAGATAAACGGACACGATGAAGTGATTTTCGGGATCCTCACAAAGAGAATTCGGATAAAATCTTATTCAGTATTTTATGAAATAAAAGAAAGCATCTTTTGGTCAAACCTTGGACCTCTGCATACAAGCCCAACAATGGATTGGGCTACACTGTAGAAAAATGCTTTGTTGGTAGTGCGAAGTGATTTTCACACTCACTCATATGTTTTATTTTGTTCATCGATTATCTTATTTATTAAAATCAATAGATAGGGAAAATACAACAGCGTAAGAGGACAAAAAAAATTGTGCAGAATTCACTCTTCGCGATAATTTGTTCTGAAATAAGAGTAAAAAGGTGAGTTTTAAAAAGATTTATTCTTCTGGTTAGAGATCAAGTAAAATGTCTTTCACCAGCTTGTTTTTTCAAATGATAAGATAACGAAAGTAAATTCATATAAACTTCAGGGAAAACTAAAACATCTTCCACCAGCTTGTTGAGTGTTCACATTTGTTATCGTTATCCACCTATCGTAGTTAACCATTTCCTGAAGTCCTATACACGGCAAGCATTTTGGATTCCTCTTGTCAAGAAAAAAGACAGAAAACTTGGGAGCTCTTATTAGCTCCAAACAAATTTTTTAGAGTTGCACTGATATTTATTTTTTTTGAAATTCAAGTACGATATTCATTTCATAATGGGAACAACGTACAATCAGAGAAAAGAGTGTCCCGCACCAACAAACTTAATAATTAAAACTGTCCTCCAAAATAAGATCAGAAATTATATCAGGAGGGTCCTCAAACCAAGAAATGGGATGCTCCAAAGTTAAACTAAATCTAGCTAACCGATCAACCATTGTATTGGCATCTCTTCGCACAAAGTTAGCTTTCCACAGTTGGAAAGATTGCAGGATCCGTCTTGTGTCATCCATCAAATGCCAAATTATTTTGAATTGCAGCTATCACCAATAGTGCATCTCCTTCCAATATCACCTGTTCAGTCTGCCATTGGTGAGCAAATAAAGTAGCTTCACAAGCAGCTGCAATCTCCGCAAGCATAGGTGATGCAATACTAGTCAACTTCAAAGCTGTAGCTGCTATAAAATCCCCAGCTGCATTCCTGATCATCACGCCAACACCTCCCACTACATCATATTCATCTCACGCACCATCAAAATTACATTTAATCCATCCTTCCTCCGGCTTCTTCCATTTCTGCA